ATAAGGATAATTGTTTATTTAATTATTTAATTTTTGATTTATTTTAATTTTATCTTATTTTTTTATTAATTATATTTTATTCTTCTATGCATATACTAAATGAGCAGTGATATATCTAGGAGTGAGCCTATCTAGCCCATGCCCCATCCCATATTTTAAAAAATTTAAATATAATTTTAATAAAAAAATATAAATTATATTAAAAATTATATTCGCATGATATATATATTTTTAGATTAAGTCCATATATATATAGTATTATTTTTATTATATTTTAAAATTTTAAAATACATTCAAATTATGCTAAGATAATTGTTTTAGATATACTGTCAAAATTAGTCTTCCAATATTTCTTAAAATAGTCATTTTGTCTCATATTTTAATTTGTAGTAATTTGATCTCAAAGTTTCATTTTTAAGACAAAAAGTCCCATAACATTTAACAGAATAATCACCTTATCTCTTATTCTTTTTTCTGTAATATTTTAACCCTTAATGTTTCATTTTAGGTTAAAAAAATTCATACTTTGGTGCGTTACATTCTATTTTTGTAGTAATTTAACTCCAAAATTTCATTTTAGGACAATCCTTAAATTTTGAAAATAGTCATTTTATTCCTGTTCTTAAATCATTTTTCCTTGGGATCAAAATACTCTAAAACATAAATAAGGGATCGAAATGATATTTTAATAAACGTAATAGCTATTTTTAATATTATACAATTTTTATTAACCCACTCTAAACAAAAGTTTGGGTACTGATTTAAAATAAGGGACATAGTTTGGGAATGAAGTTTAAATGTTTAAAAGTTTAAGGACTAATCTAAAATGAGAGTATAATTTAGGAATGAATTGAAATGCTTGACAGGTTAAAGATTAGTCTAAGATAAGAATCATAGTTTAGGAAATATGATACAATTAACTCAAACAATATATATTTAGTTTTGCAGTTGATAAAAAATTTTGTGCATACAGCAGTGCAGGTGAGCACCTGTGAATAGACATGCACAGAAGTCGGATTTCAATTCGATCCGGATCGGTTTTTATTTGATCCGGTTTTTCCCCATAGATACAAAATCGGTTTATAAAATAATCGGTTCAGATTCTAACCGGTTTGGAGGGTCGAATATCCTAACCGGTGTAACCGATTTCGGTTTGAAAAAAAACCTGTTTTTTTAAAACACCGGTTATAAAAAAACCGATTTTAATATTATTAAAATTATATCGTCATCAATTGCAACAAAGTTTACGATAATTGAAATACTTAAATACTTTCAAGTTCGATAAATTCAAATACTTAAAAACTTCCAAGTTCGATAAATTCAAATACTTAAAAACTTACAAGTTCGATAATTGAAACAAAGTTTACGATAATTGAAATAAAACTTAAAAATAAACTACATTGCCATCTCTTCTTCATCATATTCGACTTCTTCGTTTGGAGGGGATATTCCAAGTTCGACTTCTCCAATGTGTAAGTTTGCTTCCAAATCGGCATCAATTGCATCTTCTAGGGTGGTGATATGTTGCTTCCGAGCCGCTCCATCCAAATAATTCTTCAAACAAATGCATACTTCCATCGACTCGGGACTTAGTTTTGATCTCCGTTACGATATAACCCTGCCACTAACAGAAAAAGCGGATTCCGAAGCTACCGTAGAAGCTTGGACGGTTAGTAAATCACGGGTCATGGCGGCTAGAATCGGAAATTGTGCTTCATTTTCTTTCCACCAAACCAAATATCCAAACTTTCAAACTCTTCAAATGTCATTTTTGATAGAAAATCGCATGACATGTAATTTCTCAACTCGCTACTTGGGGTGGTAGTACGAGATTGTTTGGATTGAGAATTTACAAGAGTGTTAAAAAGTGACAAATTTATGTAACTTGGACGTCTACTAGATGATTCTGCATTCGTTCTCATTTGATCGTGTATTACACTACTTGATCTGTATTTAGTTAAATAAATTGCAAACATGTCTCGAAAACATTTGTTAAAATAATTTATTTGGTTTTGGACAAAGTTGGGTTCATCATCGGTTAGATTAAAAGCATACGCAATTTGTTCAATTAGTGTTTCAACTCCGCCAACATTTAACGTTGGGTTTAAAGCGGCGACACAAATAAAAATGGGGGAATCTCCTTAAAATATTTTAAAAGTTTTTCCTTTATTGCAAAGTCAATTTCTTGAAAAACTTCGGTTTCAAATTCAAAGTCATTTAGTCGGGTAGCCAACAAAAATATTTGATTAAGAACCAACGGGCTAGTAGAGTAATAAACACCAGATAAAAAAGTTGTTGCATTTTTAAAAACCCCAATCAAATCGGTTATTTTGACTATAATTTCCCAACTCGAATCCGGATAAATGTTTGGGACATGGCCCATCTCGAAAAGTCGATCGTGAAATGTTTGTAATGTTTCCCTTTGCCTTAAGGCGGTATGCATCATCATCCAAGTTGAGTTCCAACGAGTTGGACAATCCAAATTAAGACCCAAAGCTTTTTAATTAACCGACTTACAAAATCGTTTATAATCATTTAGTCTTTTGTTGTTGTTACAAAGAACCGATTTTATCATTGCTTTAAATTCTAATCTAATCGGCTCAATAACCTCCAAACCGACTTGCACGGATAAATTAATTATGTGTGCAACGCAACGGGTATGAAAAAATGCACCGTCTAAAATCGGTGAAAGTAATATTTTCAATCTTAGAACCGCGTTTGTATTATTCGATGCATTATCAAAGGATATAGAAAAACTTTATTTTCTAATTTATAAAGACAAATTACCCTTTTTAAAAGTGTAAAAAAATTAGCACCGGTATGCGGCTCACCGAATAATTCAAACGCGATTGTTCTTTTCATCATTTGCCAATTATCTAGATCTAACCAATGTGCCGTAACGGCTAAAAAAGAATTTCTGGTATTATGAGAGGAACTCCAAATGTCACATGTAAGCGACACACCATAACGATGTTCTTGGAATCCTAAAATCATTTTTTCCCTCGCCGTACGCCATATTTTTATAGCATATCTTCTAAGGGTAGTACGACTTACTTGAGTATAACGTGATTGCATTAGTTGTTGAATTGTTGTCGTGAAATCTTCATCATCAAAGTGGTCGAACGACAATGCTTTTGTAATCACGAACTTTGTAAACGCTTCTCGTAATTTTTCGTTGTCGTAAACAAAAACACCACCTTACGGTGTAAGATTCGATTGACTTAGATCCGATCTTGAGCGAAGTGCCTTGCATGATTTTGTCAAATGGTTCTTCAACGTTGTGTTTCCTTCCAGTGCAAGCAACTTTAGACAAAGTTTACAACGTGCCCTCCTCGAGCCATTTGACATCTCACATAAATCGTAGTGATCCCAAATATCTTTGTTTCGAGTGTGTTCGATCACTCTCACGACTTCAAGGTTTCCTCCGACGAAAGATTCAACCGTGTTACTCATGATGAACAAAAAATTACAAAAATAAGATTTGAGAGATGTTTAGGTGTTGTGTAATAAGATTTGAGAAAGTTGTAATCAACCAAATATATCCCCAACTTATTTATACATGTTTAAGGTGGTAAAATGGTAATTTTTTTAAAGAAAAAAACGGTCACAAAACCCCCCCAACAGCTAGTTTTTAAACCCAGACCGATTTTTTCGGAATTCGATTTCGGATATTTTTTTTACATAAAATCGAATATTCAAATTTATTAAATATATATTGTTATTTTTAGAAATTTTGAATTTGGATACGATATTTATACAGTTGTTTAGATGTTAATTATTAAATGTTTTAAATTTTTCAAAATAAGTATTATTTTTTAATTATTTAAATTAATAAAAATATTTAAATGTGGAATCCTCAAACAATGATTATCCAGGTTCGCCATGAAAGCTTGAAGGATGGTCGTGTCTCGTGCGGCGGCCATATGCGTTTGAAAAACGTCATTTTTGACGCTGCCACCACGTGATTGACAACTACGAAACGTTTCATCTCATTCTTACTATCCATCTAACACCATTAAGCGTGATATTTTATTTATTTTTTAGTATTTGATTGGAATAAAATATAAAATAATTTTTCTCGTCAATAAAATTCTTTTATATTTTAAAAGAAAAATTCATATTCTGATTTTTTGTAGGTTATTTTTTAAAAATTTTATTTTAAAAAATAAATATTTAAAATAATTTTATATAATAAATAATATAATATTTTAATACCATTTTGATCAAAAATATTATTTATTAAAATATTTAAAATATATTTATTAATATTTTTAATAATATAATATTATATTTTAAATATTATTACTCAATTATATTATAATAATTTAAGATATTATATTTTTATTTTAATAAAATTTTAAAAATTCATCGATCATTAAAAAATAATTTACATAACCTCTTTCAAAATACCGTAATTATTTTTTAGAAATATTGAAAAATATTTTTATGGAAATAAAAGAACCCTAAATTTGCTACGACTGTAAGAAAGATCTTACGCACTATTCAAAGATATAGAATATTAAAATAAGATGCTCAATTTTCAAGGAAAATAAAAAACTACGTTGAGTTTAATCCAACTTTTATTGATGTCTAATTTTAGGGTAAAAATGTTGTACCTTAAACAACGGGAAGTACAGGAGTAATTTAACTGTCACGTGTATCATAAGAAAGATCTCTCCCCTTTCTACTTAGTACTTACAGCATAAATAACATAGAAAAGAATCAAACATATCTAGAAAGAAACAAAAACCGTTAGTTTCTCGTTTTGCGTTTCCCGTCGGAGCCTTCGGTTTTCGCCGTTGGCTGTGGTCGGAGGAAACAAACGGAATTCTGCCGTCTTGACATTAACGCCTCTTCTCGTCTACGGTACGCGGCAGAAAAGTTTGTTTGTTCTCCGGTTATTGCCAAAGCGAAAATTGAACGCCAATTTAAAGAAGAAAGAAAGAAAAACAACTCATCTTTTTACCAGTAACCTAACTTACCTACCTTTTACATTGCTATTTATCATATTGATTTCCTCAGACTTGGTGCCTTTGTCAATAAATGTTCTTATCTGGGTCTGATTCAATGAATGATGACCTTGCGTATCCCGTTGTGTTCTTGCATGGCGACCTTGATTTGAGAATCATCGAAGCTCAATATTTGCCGAACATGGATTTGATGTCGGAGCGTCTCCGGCAATGTTTCATGGCATTCAAATCCCCGTTTACTGGAGGAAAGAAGAAGAAGCATCGTCACCATAAGATCATCACCAGCGACCCTTACGTGACGGTTTGCCTTGCCGGTGCCACGGTGGCGCGGACGCGCGTGATTTCAAATTCCCAGGACCCGGTTTGGAACGAGCGCTTCAAAATACCCCTTGCCCACCCCACGTGTTCCATCCAGTTTAACGTTAAGGATAATGACTTGTTCGGCGCTGAGTTGATCGGGATCGCGACGGTGCCCGCAGTTAAAGTTCTCTCCGGCGAAACGATTAGCGGGTGGTTCCCTATAATCGGTTCTTACGGAAGACCACCAAAACCCGACTGCGCGATTCACCTTGAAATGAGATTCAACAAATGCGAAGAAACGCCGTCATATAGTTATGGTATGGCGGCAAACCCGACGGAATTTTCAATCAGGGACTGTTATTTCCCCCTCCGGCACGGGGGTTCCGTTACTTTGTACCAAGACGCACACACCCATGAATCATCGTTGCCGAAGATTGAATTGGAGAACGGAACCAAGTTTAAACACGAGTCGTGTTGGGAAGATATCTGTCATGCAATTTTAGAAGCGCATCACTTGGTTTACATCGTGGGATGGTCGATTTATGCTCAGGTGAAGCTTGTAAGAGAGCCGACACGGCCGTTGCCAAACGGTGGTAATTTGACTTTGGGGGATTTGCTTAAGTACAAATCGGAAGAAGGTGTTAGAGTTTTGCTCTTGGTTTGGGATGACAAAACCTCCCATAGCAAGTTCTTCATTAACACGGTAGAATTTTCTTCTTCTGTTTTCTGAGTTATTCTTTGCAAATTATCAATCTTTTATCGTCTTTGGTCTTTTCTAGTGCGAATTTTGTACAAATATTTCTGAAAAGCTGATGTTTTAAGGTCTTGTAGTACTTAAGTTCAATGCATGTTTTTCCTGAAGAAGAAAACTTGTTACTGATGTTTTTGGATTTTGTTCAAAGATGCTAAGCCTTTGGTTTTGTCTGTCATTGCCGGGCTGCTTTTAGAATCAATGCTGCATCACTGAGAAAGTGACCTTTTAGTTTTATATCAACTGAGATTCTACTCTCTGGGGGACCATTCTATTACAGTGGATTTTCCTTCTTCTCTGGTTTAACATTCATATGTCATGCTAGATATTCAATTTTTTTTACATTACAAGTGTTTTAAATTCAGGCGGGAGTGATGCAAACACACGATGAAGAAACTCGGAAGTTTTTCAAGCACTCATCGGTTTCATGCGTGTTGTCACCTCGTTACGCCAGCAGTAAGCTTAGCATTATCAAGCAACAGGCATGAACTATACTATCCAGTTATAAGACATTTTCCATTGTGACTGCCGACTCCTAAATAGTGAAATAGAATTAGAAATGCTGAAGGATTTAAGTGTGGCATGTAATCCAGGTTGTAGGAACCCTCTTTACACACCATCAGAAATGTGTGATTGTGGACTCACAAGCATCCGGAAACAATCGGAAGATCACTGCTTTTTTAGGAGGCCTTGACCTTTGTGATGGTCGCTATGATACACCTGAACATCGGCTATTTCGGGATCTTGATACTGTGTTTCAGAATGATTTTCACAACCCTACATTTTCTGTGAGTATATTATTTCTCCGAGTCTGTCAAGTATTTGATTTAATCTAGTACATTGAAATTGGGCATATGCTGTTAGCCATACAATCTTCAATTAGTGTAAATAAGTTTTTGGTCAATTGCTCTTACCAATTCAAACATTTCAATTGTTAGGCGGGAACCAAGGCCCCGAGGCAACCATGGCATGATTTGCATTGCAAGGTTGAAGGTCCAGCTGCTTATGATATTCTTACCAACTTTGAGCAGCGATGGAGGAAAGCAACAAAATGGTCCGAGTTCGGGCTTAGATTCAAGAGGGTTTCTAGGTGGCATGACGATTCTTTAATAAAGTTAGAACGGATTTCTTGGATACTAAGCCCTTCTGCTACAGTCCCAAATGATGATCCTTCATTATGGGTTTCCAATGAATTAGATCCAGAGAACTGGAATATTCAGGTAAATTACCACATGCCCTCCAACTAATGTACTTCAGTTTGATTTAATATTTTGTTTGCTTGGTGAATTGGCAGGTTTTCCGCTCTATAGATTCAGGATCTGTGAAAGGGTTCCCGAAGAATGTGATTGAAGCAGAATCTAAGGTTATAGTTTTTATTTCATTTGTCGTCGCTCTCTTTAGGACTAAACAATATTAAAATTTTTGACTGAGCGTACTTCAGTTTTGTTTAAGTCCTACTTTATTTTACTGCAGAATCTTGTTTGTGCAAAAAATCTGGTGATAGACAAGAGCATTCAGACAGCATACATCCAGGCAATTAGATCTGCTCAACACTTCATATATATTGAGAACCAATATTTCATTGGATCATCGTATGCTTGGCCATCTTACAAAGAAGCAGGTTTACAAAACATTTTATCTACATTTTACCGGTTTCAATTATCGTAAACATCGTCTCGTTATTGTGAAAAGGTGTTATTTTTGGTGACTGATTAGTGTATGTTATAGGATGTCTAATTTACTACCTGTACTCTTTTGCTTTCTGTGTCTAAGAGGCGCAACTTCATTTTCTTTTTGTGGGGTACTTTTAGGTGCTGACAATTTAATACCTATGGAATTGGCGTTGAAGATTGCTAGTAAGATAAGAGCGAAGGAGAGATTTGCAGTATATGTTCTTATACCAATGTGGCCCGAGGGCGCCCCTACTTCAGCCTCCGTGCAAGAAATTCTCTTTTGCCAGGTAATCTGACAATGGTTGTTTCCTTTTCCCTTTCTTGATCGATTATAACTAGAATGAAATAGTGATAGGTACCTTACACTAGTAGTAACATAGTCTAGAATCGGAGAGGAAGAGTGTAAAATCAAGCTCATCGGCATTAATTGACGATTCATCATTATTTCTAGTCCTCACTAACTATTTCATTGTTTTACCACGTAGCTTAGTTTTTTGTTTCTTATTTTTTAGGGACAGACTATTCAAATGATGTACAGAATCGTAGCACAAGAGTTGAAATCGATGGGTATCGAGAATTCTCATCCACAAGACTACCTAAATTTCTACTGCCTTGGTAATAGGGAAGATATTCATGGAGATTCTAAGCCAAGTTCACCCCAATCGAACCATGGTGAAACGGTAACCAAACAGTAGCTCTGCCATGTTAATTTTGTTTATATCCTTAGTTGTTTGACTGTTAGAACTTGATTGTGTTGCCTCTGCTTTGTCCCAAGCTAGAATGAAAACAAGTTCACCTTTGTTTTCTGCTTTACGGGATCGGTTGAATCGACTTTTAGAAGTTGATATGAATCGAGGCTTTATAAGGAACTAAGAATATAAAGAAAAATCATTGTTTTCAGGTTTCGGCTTCACAGAAGTTCAAACGGTTTATGATTTATGTACATTCTAAGGGAATGATAGTAGATGACGAGTATGTGATAATGGGATCTGCCAATATTAATCAACGATCTTTGGCCGGGTCAAGGGACACTGAGATAGCAATGGGTGCATATCAACCTTATTACACATGGGGTGAGAGGAAGAGACATCCGCATGGTCAGGTTTGTGCTTTCGCCCTTGCCGTCTCTGTTTTATATTCCAAGTGATGTTGTTGATTAGATTAACGAATGTCCGTGCAGGTTTATGGATATAGAATGTCACTCTGGGCCGAACACATGGAAAAGATGGATGACTGCTTTAATGAACCCGAAAGTTTGAACTGCGTGAAGACTGTCAACAAAATCGCAGAGGAGAACTGGTTAAGGTATACAAGTGAGGCTTTTAAGCCGTTACAGGGACACCTACTCAAATACCCCATTGCGGTAGATAGCAACGGAAAAGTAAGCCACTTGACCGGACAAGAGACCTTCCCGGATCTTGGTGGGAAGATATTGGGAACTCGAACAACGCTTCCTTGTGCTCTTACTACCTAGGTTTCACCATTTAACAATATTCATATCATTGTGTGGGTTCAGTTCAATACCAAAGGACGGGAAACAAATTCGGGCAGGTATAGGTTCAATGCGAGTCTGGTTCATCCTATATAGACTGTATATTACGGAGGCATCCCTGTGTTAGTTAAGTTGGCTTGAACTTCATGCCCCTGGTCTATTTAATGTGAAGAACTAGGCATGACAATCACCAAATTTATACAAATTCGTTTATTTTTTTAACATTTCTTTCTAATAAATTATATCTTAGCGGAATTTTCATCAGAGAGAAGGATCATAATTAGATAACATCAAACACTAATTTATCATGGTAAAATACAAAGTGTTTAGCCCGACTTATTTAACCACACCAAGACAGGCAGAGGGCAATACAAACAAGATAGACATCAGTTTCCCGGTATGAGCATGAGATTGTACACTTTATAAGTCATCCAAAAACACGTCGGCACTGCCATTGCCATCGTCGTCCTCGTCGAACAGCTGAATCCGACGTTCCACTGGCGAGCCCTTTGATAATCGAAACTGGGGTTGACATAACATTTCATCCCACGAAACATATTCAAGTTATCCACCAACTCGTGAAAAACATTGCATCCACAACACTGCATCCAACACGAGTTTAAAGAAAAATCTCTTGATGCTGAAATTCATTTCTCTTAGTTTAGACAGCTTTACCTGAACAAATACGGTGCCATCGTTGTAGGCGTGGGGATTGATGGCTCGAGTGGTTCGTTGGCCGCAAACAAGTGAAGGCCACGCGCATCCGTCGACGCGACGACTTGGTGAAGAGAGACCATGGAAAGGTGGAGAATTGCTCCGTACCGGGTCGGTCATCCGCTCGGGCAGGAACTGATGGTCCCTCCATGCCCGATCCTGTTGTCCAACCTTTTACAGACGCCGCGCTTAGAACCAACCCCATCGCTGTATCCTAAATTGAATTACATAAAATACCCAGAAATCAAAACGCGATTCAGTAATTTGTACTTCAAAATTTTGAACAAAAAGATCAGCTTTATCTGTTCTTACCTGGGAAATTGTTTGATTGCCGAAGAGAGGAACGATGCTTTTGTTGGTTGGGTCAGATTGGATATCGGAATCGTCACCGTTCTCTGGTAATTAAAAAAAACAGAAAATTGGGTCAAAACGGTACTAAGAACTGAGGAAAGATATAAAAAGATTGAAATTAAAATGAATTAATTCTTTTGGAAGGGGCGGGAAAGCGGACGGTTCTGACCGGAGGATCTTTTCGTTTAGGAGAGAAGATTGAGAAAGAAGAGGAGACGATAGCAGCAGCTTGAGAGCTGAGAGGTTCCATGGGCGACGCCGTTAGTTAACTCCGCCGTGTATTAGAGAAAAAGCTTGAAAGTAATAGCTTTTTCTCGATTTTGTTATAAAAGCCATTGTTTTCCAGACACGTTTACGGAGGGGATGCCTTAAAGACCATACATTTACTTACTGTAAGAACAGCAGCCCATTAAGGCTCATTTCCAGAGCTTGGGGTCCAATGAATCACAGAATTAAACCCAACGACTGGAGTTTGAGCAAACACTGATAACTGCTTAAGAACTTCACTGACGTGTAACAATCGGGGATCCAGATATCTGGAATTCACTTATTCCACCAGTTATCTTCAAGTCCATTGAG